CCCCTGAGCATCAGTGCCTCGCTAACTCATCTCCTGAGCATACTGAAGGTGGCCTTTCCGAAATCTCACACTTCTGCCCTACTGGTCATCTTTTCCACCTCTGGTCCAAGCCCTCCCAGACCAGCCCCGCTAGAGAGGGACCATCTTGGCACAGACAGTGCTGCCTCTGCCAGGCCGGCAGTGTAGAGGGGTTGGTCTAAGGACACAGGTAGATGAGGAGCTTTGGGTAAATCTGATATCTTTTATTAGACCAACTCAAATCCTTGGACAAATTCTTTCGGGTATAAGACCCCTTCGTCAGGCTGAGGAAGCATCTGCAGTCACTGTGTGCTCTTTCTGTGTGGGATGGATAGCATAAAAGGCTGGTCTGCATGCAAGATAGGCAGTCAGTGAAGATGTAAGCTGAGGAGTCAGTGGGCAAGAGACGGGCTGGGGGAAGGGGAATGAATGTAGCTGGTAAATAGTGGAGAGGTACCTGGGGAGTCAGATATTAGGCAGGTTAAGCTAAGGCTGGGACTTTACGCAGTTGGTCTCTGAGCCAGGTGGCTGCTGGCGTGGGGGGTCTCGCCGCTCTGGCTGCCCTGCTACTGCGGGGAGGAGCAGCAGCAGCCTTGCTTGTAGGGGGATTGGATCCCCCACCCCCCTTCCATGGAAGGGGGACACAAGAAAGGCCAGCTTGGCCTTTCAAGGAAGAGGGGTTATATCAACCACCTTGGCTTTTCTCCCCCAGCCAGGCACTGCCCTTCCCCTGCTCAGAGCTACAGAGTTCCCAGCATAGCTAATCAGAGCATCCTGGTTTTGCAAAGCAGTGCCAACCCCAGCGGCAGCACTGCTGGAGAGTCAGGGGGCTTCTGGTGCATGCCCAGAAGAGGGGTGAGCTCAGCCACTGCTCATTTGGGCTGTGTATTCGGCATCTTTCTGGGTGGGAGGCTGAACTGTGTAGCACACTGGTTGCCTAAGGGAATTGGCCAGTCACATCCCAGTGCAAGCACAGGAAGGCTGAGGTCCGCTCCCCCAAGTTGGGCCAGTTTTGCTGCTGGGCATCAGTCAGAAGCAAAATGGCAGGAATATTGTTGATCATGAAAAGATGCATTAGGCGCAGCTTGGATACTGCCCCGTCTCATACAAGCACAGACTTCTCTCCCCTCCAGCAGTGCCAATTCATTCGTTCTGGCAGTGCCAAAACAGGCATGTCGTCATGTTATCTGCCATATGGACTTTCTCATCTCTTCCCTTCCTTTCTCCCCCACCCTCTGTTCTTCCCAAGTGGTGGCATTACTGAACCCAACTGGAGCCTCTCTGCTGATAGAGAGAAGCAGGAGAGAATAGCAAGTGCTCCAGCAGAGGCACAATGGCAGAGGCACCTAGGTTTCCTGCTGCTGGATTGCCTGGAACAATTTTGGTTGCAGATGTACTTTTACACTCATTTACCTCCCCTGATCTCCATGCAGTTATTCCAAAATCACACTGGTATGTGAGGGAATAGATTGGGCTTTCAAACAGCCAGAACTCTCTTTCTAAGGTGTTATATAGACCTGCAGATAGAGGAGGAAGAATCAGGTGGGGACAAAAAGGGATGCTCCCTGCCTTGCTCCATTTCTGGGTTAGAGTGGCACAGTGTCTATGAGCAAGCAGCTTTCAGCATGAAACTAAATTGAAGCATTATAGAAGAGGAGAAAGATTCACTCATAGACGCTAACGCTTCACAGCCCATCTTGCTTTGTCCTCATTCTCCAGAGCCTTCTGTTTTGCCAGTTGCTTGGTTGCTTCCAATTAATTTCTTCACCTTTATTCGATAAATCAATGTTCCATTATGCAGACGTGTGCAGGGGGCAAAGCCAGAGGCAGCTGCTCTCGCTGACTCAGGAGGGTTTCTTGCACCTGTGTGTTAGATTGGCCTTTCCCATTTGGGAGAAGAATATGATTTTTAAAGACAAATAAAACACATGCTCCCAATAGCAGCTCTCTTGCTTTATAAATTGTTACTGTGGAGCATTGAGAATTCATGTTGCCTCTTCACATGAAAAGGGAGAAACTCAGGTGGAAATGGGCCAGTTTCATGAAGTGTTAATGGGGACAACTTTCTGTTTGGAAACCATGAACAAGCAACATTTTTCACTGAATTATTTCTGCTTCTCATGATGACCCTTAAATTGAACAAATATTCCCCACTGCAAGGAGCCAGATACTAACACCACTTACACTGCTGAAGGTGAGAGAAATACATCATCAAAAATAGAACTGCCAATTCTCAATAGGGCATTCCAGGACTAGACTAAAAAAAAAAAAATCAAATGTCTGTAGCATCTACAGACACAAGATCTGACCCTTTTAGAAAATAAAAGCCAAGCTGTAGAAGAATGAACCATTACATGCAGCAGGGTGATGCATACAAGCACAACACCAGTATACTCAGCACAAACAACAGTATTTGTGAAATACACGTGATGGTTTGGTTCACATCGGGTGGACAGGGGCAAGTTTTATGAAAGCTACTAAGGGGAGAGGGGATGGTGCATTGCTTTTGTAAGCAATCGCTATGTTCTTTAGGGTCAGATTCATAGCCCCCTGAAATCAATGGGTGTCTTTCCAACAACTTGAATGGGCTTTGAATTAATGAGCAGGTCTGATTATTGCTGATCCTTTCGTGTTCAGATATATAAGATGACAGAGTATCTCTGGAGTGAACAGTGATAGAAGGTTGTTTTGGATTAGTCAAGCCCCAGCCAACTTGGTGATAGTTTTAGGTTATTATTACCATCTCATGGTTGTTTCAGGCCCAAAGTGAATGGGGTTGGTGGGTGCTGCATGGCAAATACTGACATCAATTAAGTCAGTATTAGGTATTATTCGGAGCCTAAAACTCCGATACCTAGGAGTATTATCGGAGCCTAAAACTCCGATACCTAGGAGTTTTAGGCTCAGAAATGGAACTACCTTCTCTCCGTTGCAGCTGGACTTTGCAGGCGTTATTGAGGTAAAGAACCATTCATTGTTTTCCCCATCCCTCTTACACTCAAGATAAAATCCTAACACAACTTGGTTAAGTGGCAATGAGAAAGAGATATTGATTTGGATGCTGCCAGTCTACCCTGCTGTGCGTTACTTGGACCAGCCACAACATGCACACATAAGAAGAAAATAGATGATTCTTCACTGGCTTATACCATCACTGCCAAACTGAACATATAACCAGTTCAGAGCTGAATTCATCACTGAAAAAGGTGCATAAGGGCCTGGCACTCTCAGATGCTATGACTCCACAGTCTGACTAACCACAATGGGAGCTGCGGGTTCTGACTAAATAAAATCAGATCCTCATTGCTGTTGCATTTATCTGAAGTCCAGTCCTGCAAAATGAGAACCATCCATTCCTATTTCTCTCTTCTTCTGAGTTCATTGCCATGGGGCAGATTGCTAGTGGAAGCCCTGACCGTGGAAGTCTAGAGCTATTTTTTAGTGGGCTCAGTTCTATGAATTGTTTGCATTTAGAGCATTTTCTGAGAGAAGAAAACAATGCCGCTCTCCCTAGAAAGACGTCAGCAGCTAGACACAACCTCACTTGCTGTCAGACCGATGTTCTTAAAAACCTTTACATGCACAAAGGAACCACATTTAGCAATGAAAAAATAAACCATGGCAGACAGGCAACTTTTGAACTCTGGTAGGTTGGAATTAGACTGCAATTTCATTCTGAGCTAACCATCCCTGCTAATGCATTTAAAGCCTTGACCCTGAAACTTCAGATGACTGAGTGAGTGTCTTCTTTCCTACTAAGTAGAAAGGAGGACAATGAATTATAGTCGAGCAGCCCAGCTAGAAAATCTACCCTTAGATGCTCAAAGCAAGGCTGAGAGATTGTATGTTTTCTGTGTCCTTGTGCAGAGAGATGGTGGGGAAAAGCTGCAAGACTGCACATCTCATGGAAGCTTTAGGTGTCTCCAATTTCCAACAGCATTTGCCGGAACACATTTCTAGGAAGGAGAAGTCAACTCTAGCAAAAATGTGGTTCCCTGTTCAAGCATGTTATTTGCCCCTAGAACTGGGTAGAAGATCTCACACATATTTGTTATATCAGCTCCATTGCAGAGCAATGGATTCTGGCAGCTAAGGTGTGGAGGAGGAGAAAGACAGAAACTCAATGCAAACTGTCAGCCTTGTTACCTTGATGCTGCTGAACAGAGCAGAAATGTGGTAATGGGAACAGACTGGTTTGCAGATGACCCCTCTGAAAAACCGCTGAATGCCTGACATACTACCAAGGCTTTTGGACACCCATCCATAGCTTCTATCAAGCACCGCTCTGTGAGACAGACTAAAATCAGGGATGCAAGCAGCATCCTTCCTGAGATGCCTGTTGTATAGTTGCATGTATTTCTAACATGCCAGAGCCTAGCATCACACAGCAGCAAGCAGAGGCTCACCCTGCTTTGGACTCAGACCATCACACAATCAATCCAGGCCAGAGTCATGAACGCCATAGTGACAGGAGCGTCCAGCAGATTCATAGGCAGGAGACTCCTGCAATCAGTTCCCTGTGCCCATAGAAAAAAGCTCTTGGTCCTAGGTGTACTCTCCAGCAACTAGAAGCAGGAAGGCAGGGAATGGGAGGAAATTACAAGAGAAATATTTTATCCATGGGAGATGGGAAGAAAATGAATCCCAAATTATTCTGTGGTGACAACAGGAGATAGGTTATGGAAAGAATGGCTTAATTATACACAGCATCTATCTGCATAGCAAGAATCACCATCCTAATGGCACAAATCCAACTCCAATTTGACTTGCTGAACCCGGAGATGAAGCCTAATTAGAATGTTATTGTAGAGATCCCTGCTCCTTTCATTACCATTTTCATTGGCTTGTTTGAAAACATCCACTGAAGCACCCTCCCTCATTTAACATGGATGTCCCAGTCTTAATTACAGCTGAATACACAAGTTTTACTTGGCTCACAAGACGTGCAGCCAGAGTCCTCACCTGCCCCTGCTCTCACACTGTGGCACTGCCCCAGTGGCACAACAGGGTTGGTTGGAGCTGCCAAGCTAAAGACTGCCCTCTGCCTGGGTAATATTCAGCTGGGGTAGGAGTATTTCTTCTACCCAACCTTAGCACCAAAGTCATAGGTTACTTGCTACCCCCTTGTGAGGGAGTTTCACCTTTAGCTCCATAAGTTTCCACACATCTATACAGATTTGCACCTATGTATAATGTGCCCCATATTTTCTGTTTTCAAATATCTCAGCTGTCTGGCTTTAGTACCTGCAAGCCATGTTTTCATGAGGCAAAAGGATGCCTCCCCAGCTATCTTCATCACATCAAAAGGGAAAGCTACTTCCCACTACTGACTCTGGACTCAGATCCTTGCTATTTAATCATGCAACATCCAGTCCAACAAAAGAAGCCAAGGGCCAGACCCTCAGCTGGCTGTCAAAGGTATTCACAGGTATTGATTACTGGAGAATGAAGACTCACCTAGCTGCAGGGGAGGGAGGAGAGAGAGGCTAATAAACAAAGCATATCTGATTTACATAGAATAAAAAATGCATGCTGAGCTGTGACCTGTGCAAGGCCAGCAGCCTAGTATCGATCTTCAGACAGCAGGATGTGATCAATAGAACCTTATCAGGACCCACAGCATCAGCTTTCAAAGAAACCAGGGTCACCCTTGAATGAACTGATCTTGCTGCAGAGTGTCTGTGCCCCAGAACTCACTTTCAGGGGTCCCTTGGCTGCATTCATTAACACCCTTCCCTTGCAGTATACCACTCTAGCTGTGCCAAGTGCCCATCAACCCAGCATACTGCTAGGAGCCATGTAAAGCAGCTGGCACTGGCCTGGTGGATCTGCCTTGTTGTCTCCACTCCTTCCACCTGGAGGGGCTCATCTGATAAAAGGGGTGTTTGGGCCAGATGAACTCTAGGGTCGAGACCTGTAGAGGCTTGTGCAGCCTCTCTCTGAGACAGGCTAATCAGCACCACATCCTGTCATTATATACCTAAATACAAACTCCCTTCCTCTGCCATTTGCTGCAGCCATGTACCCAGTACTCTAGAGAGCCTACTGCATGGAGACCAACTGAGCTCCCTGGCATTCAGATTCTCCCCACCCAGGCACCTGCAGCTGCATTGAACATTACAGTCCCACAGGACATGGTAAGGTTCAGTCTCTCAGGGCAGCCCCTCCAACCCGTGTTACTGCCCAAGAGCCATCGCTAACTTGCAATGCTTTGTTCTGATGACCAACTGATTTTCTGGCTTGCACATATCCTTGGCTATAATTCATCATCCCCAGCCTATCAGTCAAGGTGCTTTGGTCCCTAAGGAACCCTTGCTCTCTCAAAGGCACTTGCTTTAAGAAACATTGACCTCTGCTGCCAGATCTAGGGAGTGTAGTGTTTGTAAATTAGTGCAATGCACTTTTGCTCTACCTGCTCTCAGGAGCTGGACTACAATCCAATTGGCACAAGCCTGGGGGACCAGAGCTAGCTGCACTCTTCCATGCCACAGGGTCATTGCAAAACATACAGTCACTTAGTGTCTGCCATTTCTTTGATTCTTCTTGCAACTTGAGGCACATCTATTAATCCCCTTCCTGGTCTCAGTTTGGCCCATCTGCGAAATGGAGTAGTGTGCACCTGTCTCAGATGGGGGTTTCCATGAAGACTTAAGTCACTAGCATTCAGAGAAAGTTTTTTGCAGGACTCTCAGATCACTTTGCAACATGTTCTGCCATTCCTCCAGAAGCTCTCTCATCACCTATAGCTTTTGTGTTTCTACTCCTGGATGTCTTGCCAAGAGAATACCTTTCGGAGCTACCTCTTCCTTCTGACACACTGAGTACCTGCTGGGACCGGTTAGGTTTTGATGCTGTTCAGAAGGATACAGATTCATTTAAGTGCAAAACACAGAGGAAAGAGTTATCTTCCTTTCTCTTTCAAGTCACAGCTGAGGTGGAAGCCAAGAACACTAGGGATTACCAGAGACAGGAGGGTTATGTCATGTGGATACAGTGAGGCTGTCTAATGGGTGGATGGTGCCTTCTTGTGGTAGCCTGGAAACTGCAGTTTTCATGGAAACAAGCTGCAGAGTCAGCTGGGTAAAGGGTCTGAGCACTGATACTGGTGTTTCCATCTCGGGCATCTCTTTCCTATTGTACTAACATCAAACTCCAGAAGACCCTGATACAGCCCTAAGATGAACTACACACTAGCTATAGCTGAGACAAGGAGCCAGCACCTCAACTGATTCAAGAAGACACAGCTTTGTTTCAGTTATATAGAACAGGAGCATCAAACATACAACTCCTTCCAGCCTGCTGGGCTACTAGCAGGCCTGGAAACTTGTGTATATGGCAAGCAGGACGGCACAGCCTATAGCAAAAAGTGGGTCCTAGTGGATCTGGCCTTCAGTGGCAGAACATATACGTCTTGGAGCAAGTGGATCATTATGTTGCTCATCTCCATAAAGATGGATTTCCCCCATTGTGCATTGAACATCACAGATACTTACCATTAGAAACAACATGAAGACATCTTCAAGCAGAATCATAGTGCTGGTCTATGCAAAGGACTGGGCTACGGACAGCCAGGGCTCAACCTCAGGGGTCAACACTAGAGTCACAAACAGGTAGATCATGAAGAGGGAAATCACATGGGGGCAGAACAAAACAGGGATTCAGACAGAAACACAGCTAAGCATAACAACACCACAAACAGCTATCTACTAAGCACCTCATGGCTGATGCACTCAGAGGTACCCAGGCAGGTCACTGGGGCGAGGTGGGAGCAATTGGGCAGCACAGCCAGGCCCATTAGGGCCAGGTGGGGGCTTGCTAGTCTGTCTGCTGCCCTCATTCCTGACAGCAGAACCTGCTCTTAAACTCATCCAGCGATGGAGATCTCATTGCTTGTGTAGGAAGCCTGGTCCAATGCCCTCAGCCTGGGAGGGCTGCTATCCAGGGAAAATGCCACTAGATGGTGCTCAATATGCAGTGCCTGATTTTTGCAAGACTGAGGGATCTCATGCAGCTGTTAACCAGTTCTCCTTGGACTAAACACAGCAGAGAGCGTTTCTGGACCAAGTTAGTAGCCAGGAAAAAAGGGTGTTTGTACCGGAAAACTTGCAAAGAACAATTTTCCAACTATTTAGTTGGTCTAATAAAAGATATCCCATTTACCCACAGAACCTTGTCTAGCCAGGAGGAGGGCATTAGGCATGGTGACCAGCTGAGGTCACACCTTAGCCAGAAAACTTGGCTTTTTGGTTGCCAGTCCCCTGAGTTACTCACTAGGTGACACTGTTTCTCTACAGGGCATGGGAGGCAGTAATGCTAAATCCCAAGGCCAGGCTACAAAGGGAGGGAGCTTTAGCATCCCTTACTCAATACCAGCCCTTGCTTACAAACAGACATGCTCTCTTCAGTGGTTATTTTCTCAGCATTTCCACTCTCTGACCGGCCTCCATCTCATCAGCCCTGACAAGACCCGCCCCCTGCATAAGGCAGAGATCTATTTTTTTCCTGGAGAATCATGTGTCACAGCTGCTCTGCAGACCCCTCCTTCCTACGTGGCCTAGGCTTTGTGGCTGCTTGCTCCGAGACTCGCTGAAGTCTCCTCTGTGCCTGAGGCTTTTTCAGAACTGCTGAGTTTCGTGCAGTTTTGGCTCCGGTCTCCACACTGGTCACAAGTATAAATCAGAAACTAGCACAAATGTGATCCGAAAGCCTGGGGAGTCTTGCAAAGGTGCTTGTTTGAGGAGCAGACCTCAGCTGAGAATTGCAGAAGCTTAGGATAACATAGATTGGTGTGTGTCCTAGGTACCAGCTGAGGCCCAGTTCACAGAGGGCCTAAATTGGTTGTTGGCCCTTACTAGGGAAATTAGCTCCTAAATTCACACCACAGACATGCATGTGTAACCCACTGTTATGGATCCCTCTCCACGCCCCATCTAGAGATGACCTGGTACAAACCCAGAGTCTGAGCTCTTGCTCCCATGGTAACACCTCACACTTTCAGCTCTGGAGGTGTCTGGATCCCCCTGTTGCCTGCTAGCCAAGAGGCCACCATCATGCATTTCCTTAGCTGTGGAAGCCCCCGGTTTCCATCCTCAGCTACTTGCAATCTGAGATACAGAGCCAGGGACAACCATGTGGGATGGGGAAGCTCAAGGAAAGAAACAGTTTGGACCTCTTTAGGGTTTGTTCTCTTCTTCTGGACATTGCTTCGTGTTCACACTAACAGAGGGTGGGACATATACAATGCAGTCTGAAATGAGCCCACACGACTAAAAGCAGCAGGCTGGAACTCTAGAGATCTGGGTTTTATCCTCTGTTCTGTGACAGAATTCCTGTGTGACATCTGGGCAAATGCACTGCTGTCCATGCCTCAGTTTCCCTAAATTAAATGAGGATAAGAAGTATTATCTCTTTAGATGCGCAGTTCTTTAGCATAGAAGCTGCCTCCTGCTGTGGAAGTGAGGCACTTGGGATCACACGGCTGTTCACTCAAGGGAAGGAGCAGGCCAGGGTTGGCAACCAGCCACATGAGAAATCTCCTGGAGTTCCTGAATGGCCTTCAAGTGAATCTCCTTGCAGTGATGCAAACAAGCCGGCCAGATCCTCCCGTGAGAAGCTGCAACCTCTTTGCCAGGCACAGATGGAAAATGAGCCCTCTTGGCCACTGGCTGCAACCCAGGCCTCCTTTAAAAATTAATTGCAAGCACCAGAGAAATTTAAACAACTTGGTTCCCTGCCCAGTAAAATTACAGCAGATTCTTCCTCTCAGCCACCAATGAAGTTTTACAGGCTATTCATCAGCCACTGTGCCTCACCGGATTATCTCCTGGGAGAGAGACTGGGTTGGGTCATTCATAATATGGCTATGGGCTGGTGTGGAAGATGAATGACACCGCATGCTGCCCTAACTCTGTAGTGTCTACTTTAATAATGATCATCAAGTCTCTCAGATACTGGAAGGGAATTACTGCGGGGATAGCTTCAAGGATGGATGTAACTTGGATTGATGGCTGGCACATGTCCAGGAAGGGCCAGCAGGGGGGGGTATGCTCAGGGGCAACCAGCATGGGTTCATTAGGGGCAGGTCTTGTCAAACCAACCTGGTGGCCTTCTATGACCAGGTCACCAAGTCCTTGGATGCAGGTGTCGCAGTGGATATAGTCTTTCTGGACTTCAGGAAGGCCTTCGACACGGTCTCTCACCCCATTCTCAGTAAGAAACTAGGAGACAGTGGTGTTGACAGTGGTGTCTGACCTACACGGTCAGATGGGTCACTAACTGGCTGGAGGGCTGCACCCAGAGGGTGGTGGTGGATGGGTCTTATTCGACCTGGAGGGATGTGGGCAGTGGGGTCCCCCAGGGCTCAGTCCTTGGGGCCACACTATTCATCTTCATCAGTGACTTGGGCGAGGGGGTAGAAAGCACCCTGTTCAAGTTTGCAGATGACACTAAGATGTGGGGTGAAGTGGGTACGCTAGTAGGAAGGAACAGGCTGCAAGTGGATCTAAACAGGTTACAGGGGTGGGCCAAAGAAAACAGGATGGGGTTCAACACTGACAAGTGCAGGGTAATGCACCTGGGGAGGAAGAACCAGCGGCACACCTGCAGGCTGGGGAACTCTCTTCTTGCCAGTGTTGAGACAGAAAAGGATCTTGGAGTCATCATTGATGCCACAATGAACATGGGCTGACAGTGTGGGGATGCGGTCAGGAAGGCTAACCGTACCTTGTCGTGCATCCACAGATGCACCTCAAGCAGGTCCAAGGAGGTGATCCTCCCCCTCTATGCGACACTGGTCAGGCCGCAGCTGGAGTACTGCGTCCAGTTCTGGGCGCCGCACTTCAGGAGGGATGTGGCCAATATGGAGAGGGTCCAGAGGAGGGCCACCCTCATGATCAGGGGTCAGCAGGGCAGGCCCTATAAGGAGCGGTTATGGGACCTGAACCTGTCCAGCCTCCAAAAGAGAAGACTGAGAGGGGATCTAGTGGCAGTCTACAAACTAGTCAAGGGGGACCAGCAGGCATTGGGAGAGTCCCTGTTCCGCCGAGCAATCCCGGGAGTTACAAGAAACAACAGACACAAACTAGTGGAGGGTAGTTTCAGGCTAGACATTAGGAAGCACTATTTCACTGTCAGGGCGGCTAGGACCTGGAACCAGCTTCCAAAAGAAATGGTGCTGGCTCCTACCCTGGGGGGCTTTAAAAGGAGGCTGGACGAACATCTGGCCGGGGTCATTTGAGCCCAGTACTCTTTCCTGCCACGGCACGGGGTCGGACTAGATGATCTCCTCAGGTCCCTTCCGACCCTACCAACTATGAAACTATGAAACTATGAAACTTGGCTAAAACCTACAGGCAGGCTAGTTTGGCCACTGGAGTTCTGTACGACCAGGAGCCAAGAGAGACCAAGAATACCTTCCCTGCTTCTGCCATGGGCTCTCTGAGCCATTCAAGGAATGCCCCTCTAGCTCTGTGCCTCAATTTCCCCACTTGCCCGCAGGGAGTGGGTTTAAGGCTGGTTTAGCTGAGAAGCAGCATGAGCCTCAAATGGAGCTGTACTAAAACTGCTGATTGCTGCACAGACCATTTTTCCTGCACTAGTCCTTTGAAGGCCACTCATTGCACTTTGGGCCAGGACAGCAGAGGCCAGACAAGTTCAATGGGGAGGGAAGACCTGAACTAGGTCTCACCTTACCCTAGAGGGTGCAATTCATGCGTGTACAGAGCACTGGTGTGAAGTTTATGTTCCATTTCTACCCATTCTGGAGGTCTAGGAGGCATCTAGGCCTGATGTGGTCTTTCTGCATGGGGGTGGGTTTCACTTTTCACATCTCTGAGACAGCCACTGTCTCCCTGTCTTCCATGCACACCAGCAGATTTCCATTCTGCCTCTTAGCTCCTGCATACCTCACTGCAAAATCAGCAGGA